TACGTTTTCCTCGCAGGATTGATGCTTCCAAGCCGCTCAGTCATTGCTCAACAACTACTTTTCCACAGACTGATGGCTTGAGGACTTTCCCTGTTGAAATTGGACCTTACCGCCGAAGGCCGAAGATGAGTTTACAATTTCTGGGAGCTCCGGGAAACAAGAATTTTTGTGTATAAAGAGTAGTATACGAACACTGAGGGAAAACATCATAAAGGTTTTGTAGTACCTTTATTAAGATTTTTATTAAAATGTTCAAATCTTTCAACTTTTTTTCAACTTGCTCATAAATCGGTAGATTCAGTTTCCAATATAGTTATATTTTTTAAATAGCGGGTTGTTCAAAGAGCGGAGTATACTTTTGCGGGGCCGAGTACACGTGAGGCAAACCTTCTATATTCTAATTGTGATGTGTAAATTCACTGAAAAGAAGGAATACGGCAAATTGACTCCATAGCTTACCGATACTGAATACTCAACTTTCTTGGAACAAAATTTGAGTTACTGCAATTTGACAGTTATCAAGTAACATGTGCTGACAGATGACATCCAACACAAAAACCGCGCCACTGCATACATCCCCCGGAAAATCAGCTCAAATGAATCAAGTTTTGATTGAAAGCTAAATGTCATGTATAAGCTTAGCGTGGCTCTCCAGCTCCACGATCTTCAGGCCACACTCCCTTTCCAGCTTATATGAGAAAGCGATATGTCTGTTTCTTGTTTTCGTTTAGAGCCAAGCATCCAGAGAAATGTGCACATTCCCTTGAGGCTGAAAAGGGCGCAACCCTTGAGTTGTAACCATTGATCTCTCGAGTGACCACTTTGAATATCTACGAATTATCATAGTTCTCCGCGACAGAGGCTCTGATCGCCTCAGAGGTCAATAACTCAGAATGTGTTTGGTTCTGATATTTATTGAAGTTCACGATGAACGGCATGAGCACACGCTGATTTGTGCATGGGCTCGTTGCACAGCAATACAAAGATGGAATCTTCTTCTGTACATTCAGGACGTCACTGAACTCCGTTGTCCCACTGACACCTATAGAATTTTCAGGCGATCCAGTGACGTATGAGGTCGTGAAACAACTCTTCTGAGAGTCAACTATTTTGTCAGAGCTCTTTGGATGGTGAAATTAGTAGATGGAATTTTGATTATTGAAGTATTTTTATCAAAAAACCTTTTTCTTTTACAACTAGATATCAAATGTTGAGTGATCATTGGATATCATCTCAATATGACGTAGTAAAAAAATTGATTCTACTCGTGCATAACTAGTACATTAGTTTAGATGTCCTCTTGTGTATGCTACATCTGCTCTTGCTCTGGGCTGGATCCCTGTCCTGGTCCTTTATCTGCACTTCTCTGGCGCTCATGTTGTTAGCAACTCCAGTTAAGATAACCGTCAGCATCAACCATCGTCGGACGGCTGCGCGCTTTAACTCCGGCATGGGCTAGTTTCTTACGACTGTTGAACGATCCTTCCTCGGTGGAATGACCGCCGTGGCTGGTGTGGCACGGCGGCCGACCAATGGATCTCTCACACCGTCGTGAATGATTCCGGGATTCCCTTCTTTGTGTAATAGGTACTGAATTGTATCTGCATGATTGTTACCCTTCCTGATGAATAGGAGATCACTTTGGTGAGGACAGGGCAGCTTCAATCGTGAAGAGTTGGAGTTTTGACGGAACTGAAACTCAAATTTTTGAAACCCTTAATGAAAGAGACTTCAAAATTTACTTTCTTTTGATATCTAGAAGATGTAGAGTTGTGATTAAACTCCAACTCAATTTGATGGAATCCTTATATCAAAGGAAACCTCATCTCGAATCAGGTTAATATTTTTTGAAGAGGTAGAGTTATGAATGATTGAGACAACCTCATGAAAGAGATGGAGTTTTGAATGGTTGAAACCACTTCACCCTCAAATCTACTCTGGTCTTCATCCCTGAAGAGGAGGACTTTTGATGAAACTCAAACTTGACTACCTGAAACCTCTTCAGGACACGACAGAGGGAACCAAATCATTCACAGATATATATGGGGAGTCTTGCCGTCGTGCCAACGTTTCCCGATTCAGTGACAAGTAATATCTTTGTTCTTTTCGTTTCTTCTTCAGTGTTCATCATTTCCACAGTTTACTAGTTTCATACTGTAGGTCACCAAAGATGACAACGAAGGTGCTGTCATATATCGTTGCTGTATTGTTAGTTTCTGCTCAAGGTCTGAGTTTCAAAACTCCTGAAAATTTATAAAGACGCTGAGCACTACAAGCAGAATTCTTCTGCACTTTCAATGCTCCAGAATGAGAGCCGTGCTTACGAAATTCCCACGGAAGATGAGGATGACACGCATCTACCTTCTCCCAAAAATGGAGCCATGTTTCAGAGTCCTGAACAGAAGAGAGTTCAAGGTGCGAATGGGTAAGCTGATTTCATCCCACAACAAAAGTATTACGCAAGCAAATTACGTGAGTAGCTATTGCGAGGGTTTGAGAAAGGAAGTTGTGGCCCTTTCGTCAAAACCATGCCAAACCTTTGTCATTCAGTTTGAACTTATTTTTGACTATCTATCAACTGAATAGGGCCACGTGTGGCATATCCTACAGTATTATCTCAAATCAGAACAGATATTTCAGATCTTCTACTTCAATTTAGAAATTTTCTAAAAACTTGCTCATAGTCTAGAACACCATATGAGAACATTGAATACAGAACATCACTTCCATCACTCTTCAGTGGTCTTGTGTCCATATTGATTTCAAACTTTGTTTTACAAACTTTGTGTTTGATAACTTAGAAAATTAACCATGTTACAAGTGATCTTCTTTAACCATGGTTGGAATGGTAAACTGAAGGTGTCTATAGTTGCTAAACCTGATCTTCTCATGTATGTCTGCAGATGCTGAGTGTCTCAAATCTCTCAGACCAAGTTCTGAACTGTAGGAATCGCATACAAAATTCGATATCGACTTTCTCAAGGCAAGATTAGCTCTTGCTTCCAACCATCACAATGGGAATGGCCAGTTGATCCCTTCTCAAGATGAAACCAACAAACTTCTCATAGCCCTTGTTGTGAATGAGACTTCCACTGACATAACCCGCGTCAGATGTCAATCTTTGCACTTCTCTCGGGTGAGGAGCGCTTACGGCTTCAAAGACATATGCCCATATCATCAGTTCACGTGGTACGTCGTACAATCGAATATCGTGCCTAATGAGATCCGTTGCCTGTTTGTATGGAAAGAAAAGAGTCTGATTTATTCTGTCTATCGAGATTCTCCCATCATACTCAACCCGCAGACTACTACTGGACCGTCAGTCGGTAAGGACTTCGCGGATTTGTAAGAAACCTGGGCCATATATGTCCTGATGAAAACATGGGATTAGTTTCAATACGGGTTTCCTTCTGTCAGACTTCGCGTGAAGAAAGGGCGTTATTTAGGCCTCAATAAAAAGTGAGAAATTCAGTGTCAATTTCTGCTGGCCTTTCTTCGGCAACAGATTCTGCAAGACTGATTGTGATCATAAAGCTCTGATGTTTTGATAATTACTTATCATTGTAGACATCAGACTTGAACAAATAAAAGAAATAACTTTGAATCTGAATAACTCCTCAGATGTGGAAAACTCCTTTCACTCTCTCGATCTTATTGATCTTATAGAAATTTTTTCTGGTGCTTAAGCACCAAAAAAATCATTTTACTTCGCACACTCTCCAGCAACCAGATAATTTTCTGCTGAAGCTTTGAAGTAACGAGCACCAATGATATGGGTTTACCAACGTTCACCTAAACACTGTCGTCTTTTGTATTCTCGTAACGCAAAGCTGTAGAGTCCTATGAAATTCTTAGAGAAGTACAGGTATGATTACGTCGTTATGAGTCTCGATTCCTATATTTCTTATCAGTCAGATTAAACGGATTGCATTCGAAATGGGCAATAGAAATACCGCTGTACTCACCTCCTGAATCAGTATGAACTCAATTTTCACTTGGCTTCTTCATCCTACAAATCAGAGTCCCAGCTTTCGTCAAATCAGTGTCCACTTTTTAAGCGGACGGTACTGCGTTCAGTGTTGGCATGCATAGGGCCTTACCTTTCTTCGTGTTCGAGCATGTTACTTTAGGACCAACACTGCATGAAGTCAATATCTTTCCTAACAACCTAACGACCTGACTGTCTGCTGCTTATTGTAAGCCAGAAAGAATGTGAAGGACAGAAATATGAGCCTCTTGGTAAAAGTGGGCCATTATAGAAAATAATATCGTGAGAAAACATGTTCTCGTCGCAAAGAAGTTTTGAGCACCCATGCAGTAGTATTCATTTACAGCTGATTTCTTTCGTCTCTTACACGAGATAACCTCTAACCTACGAGAAGATCAGAAATGCGGCTTGGACGAGGTCTGCACCATGAACTTCGATTCCGCAGATTTCTCGCCGGAAGTTTGGTGTGCCTGGAAACTCAAAAGACAAATTCCCTCGGCAGATAGTATTCCACATATATTCGGAACAGACTACGAAATTTTGACTCTTGCATTGATAACAATTTTTATCTGAGATAGAGTGTACGGTTTAATACAAATGCATGAATAAATTTTTTATTAACACTAATCTTTTGGAATCTCATTGTCCAGTTTCTCCATTTGAATTGTCACTGATTTCATCATGAATATATCAAGTCTATCAAGTATTTTGTTCTTGCACTCGACAGCGATTAAGAAGAATAATGTAATCAGTATCCATTCTATATTTTGCGAAATTTTAATTTGCTCACTCCAAGTCCCGTAATTAAGAATAGTGTCATTTCAATATATTATTTATATATTATTATTTTCTTCAGAATAACATAATTCTAGGTAATCACGATTTTCATGTGCTAACCGCAAAGGGTAGAAAACATTCTACGTAATTTGGAAAGAGTAACTTGGACAGCAGCATTCATATTTGTACATAAAGAAGTAGATGCATATAAAAAAATTTATAATTCTAGTCAAGATCAAGCATATGATCCAGCGTAAAATTTTGAAGATGAATATTTATTCTGGAGTTATTATATAGAGATTAAATTCCATGCTGGAACTATATTCCACAGCCTTTAAACTCCGAGGTTTTGCACTTCAAACAGCCCAGAACTACCAATTTGATTTGATCAAGATCAAACTTATGGAAAAATCAGAACGAGAATGATGAAAATTTAGAGAAGAGTTGCTCGCTTCTCTTCAACTGGTCGCCAGTTGACGAAATGAAAATCTCGGTGAATGCGGGAATACTGTCCAAGGCTGAATGTGATCATTCTACAGACTGTTGACTAATGTATTACAGCCTCAGCAATCGGTGGTGTTGTCATTAACATGAGCCAGAGCAGAAGAGGCAGATTGGATCGCAAAGGCAGATCTGCGTCGTCTCGATACAACCTGCCATAGGAGCGGCTTCAAGCATCCGGACGACCTCTTTCATCTCTGGTCTCTGGTGAGGATCAGCATCCCAACATCTGGTCATCAAATTCTGGAGAATAGCAGGGGTGCACCTGGGTATGGGAGGCCTTCTACCTTCCATGGCGACTTGGATGGCCATGTCTCGAGCACGCAGCCCCGCCATGTCAGAATACGGCACATCACAACAGTACATTTCCCAAACGCAAATGCCGAAACTAAAGACATCACACTTGTGATCATATCCTAACTTCTTGCTGCCATCGACCACCTCCGGTGCCATGTACCCGTAAGTGCCTGTCACCAGACTCATATCCACCAGGGAGGGTGCCTCAAGTCTAGACTCTCCAAAGTCTGCGATTTTCACTCGCATTTCTGCGTCCAGCAGAAGATTGTCCGGTTTCAAGTCTCTGTGGCAGATTTTCTTGGAATGCAAATATGCCAACCCCCGAGCAGTGTCCAGTGCAAGCTGGATGACTGTGTTATAGGGCAGTCTTCGACGTCCTGCCCTTCTGCTATTGATCCAGAAATTTCTCACGGATCCTCCTGAGACGAATTCCATTAAGACGCAACACGTAGCGGATTTGAAGGTGAAGGTGCCCTTCCAACCCACATTCTGCGCCGGAATCTCGAATTCTTTTCCACCGGCCCAGGCGCCTACAAAACTCGTGATATTTGGATGCTTGATACCGGCCATGATTTCCACTTCTCGCAGAAATTTTTGTCGGTAGTATGACGCTTCTCCCGCAGACATAGCGCCGGCGTCCCAGTTCATGATTTTTACCGCGACCTCTTTGCCTTCGTATGTCCCCCGATGAACCGTGCCGAATGAGCCCTTCCCCAGCAGCTGGAGGAGCTCAATCTTCGTGGCATCGATCTGCCATGCGTGTGGATCAATCGGTGCGCGTGCAGCTTCTTGTTCATCCGCCGGTGCGTACTTGCTGTGAACCTTGTACATCGCTGCATCCAGCTGCTGTTGGTCTATTTTCACTTTGCCTTTCCCTTTGGTTTTCTCTGCCAAGGCTATTTCCCCTTGCGCTTGCCCTGAGGCAGGCCCTGATCGTGGCACTAAGGATTCGGTTTCCTCCCTGATTTCTGATAAAGGTTTCGTTTTCGTCATCGTGTCCGAGTTTCTATAGCCTCTAGTTAGTTAGTATTCAGGTTCTGAACAAAATATGAACGCTTCGGAGACTGGCTATGGAGATTCGGATGCCTCGATTCGGATGATACGCGTGAGGATGTATCAGCTGTTATCAATCAGGCACGACAGTAGCAATCAAGTCATGAGATCTCAAGAATAAAATTCACATGTCAAACTGAAACTCTCGAACTCAAATTCTCACATGTACAGAAAATCGCTAGCGTGTTCACGTGAAAGTTCAACATGCAATATCTGATTCAGGTATTCTAAGTCGGTAAATAAACATCGAGTATGAAAAACTCCCTCGGGATCGTATGTTCCTCGATGAAGAAGAACATTTCGATTCCTCCTTGGATCAGACTAGTTATCTTCGCGCTTTCCTTTTTAAATTCTTCAAGGCCGACTCTATATTGTGTCAGTCTTCCAGCCTCTCCTCACGTGCTGCCGATGTGTTCGATGACCTTCTGCATTGCAAAATTATATATATTTTAAGGCTGGTTGTTCAAGTCGCTACGGGACCATCTGAAGGAAATCTCTTCTTACAAATTTTGAATGAGTGGCTCCCGTAAAAATTAAGTTTTGCCCCTTTATCAAAATCACCACTAGATGAAATCGCTGAATCCAGGTAAACTGGACCATCTATTGAGAGAAGGTGTGATGTGGAAAGACTGGCATACAAAGAACGAGTCCACGGATTTTAAATCGAATTCATGGTGGCAAGTGAGCATCAGCCATGGTCTAATGCAGTTTCGATTTGATTGATTTCTTATAAACAGATCTCCATTCATTACAGTCGTATCAACGGTCTCATTTCAATGTCTTCAGCCTTATTTACAGCTTCTCGAGTTCAACTCGACGCATGCGAGTATCCCTGAGATATACCTCCAACCTCTCAGCCAGAACGACGCTCAGTGCTGGAGAACTGCTGAGACTTACCAGGTTGAACGTGAGGACATTAGTTGTACGCCAAGCTAAACGCTCTCCGGATCTCCAATCCGTACTGCTCGAGTACGCATTGCAACATAATATTCTTTGACATTCAAGAGGCGCATGGACCAAGAGGTGCAACTTTTTGTACGAACAGGCGCAATTCTCCCTGAACTCTCGATATTCGTGGCAGCATATTATATGGCAGCATGTCGGTGGTGCTGATTGCCCTGTCTTTCGACCCTGCAATTTAGGCAGTAACACCGATGGAGTACGGATAGTCTAGATCTGTGCTCGCCCGCAGGTGACGGGAGGTTGATGGTAGGTTCTGACGCAGCATGGATTTCAATTGGCCGGCAGAGAAAGGGTTGCTGAAGGATTACATTGAATCTCGCCGAAAGAAGCCGAAACTGGGCCAGTCGAATCTCTTCGGGTGCTTTGGATATAGTTCCGTCAACAAAGTCAAACCACCGGAGCGGGTGCCCGAGCCCAAAATTGTGTCGATGATGTCGTATGTAGAACAGGCAAAACAATGGCAAGACTCGCTTCGGACAAACCCAGATTGGAGAGATCAGATCGAGCCCGAACAGCGTAGACTTCGGGTTTCTAAAATGTACGTCGTTGGCGTCTAGATTTGTTTTCTGACCTTAATATCTATGTTGACAAGCGTGGAAATCAACCAAAAGACTTTTGTATAGAACAGATTCTTTCGAGATCTGTTCGCTTAATCTCTTGTGATGTGATGGTACGAGTGTATAGTATGATTTTGAGTATAGTAAGACGACTGCGCAAGAGAGGAATGGCTTCCTGCCACAGAGATTTACAGTAAATTGGAAGCAGAATCTTGGTGTGCATACGATGCGTGGTCAGCCACTGCAACTGATTTCTGTATTGTGTCAAGGCCAATGGCTGTTTGATAGAGTTGTAGACTCTGCGTGCGTAATCTGCGTGCACATTCCAAAATTGATTCGTTCAGCTCTATCAATTTTTCAAACTATCTCTGGAGCTTGATAACCAAATCACTTGATAATTGCCCGTAATTGCAAACTTGGAGTTTCTGGATTTATTCAATTGTTTCCTTTGGAGACTCCGTTCAGAAATGTTGAAACATTAGGGCTGATCACCTGACATTACCTTAGACCAGCCTGAAAATTTCACTCACAAGACTATCTGTTTTCGCTCTTATCTCAGTACCGTAGGTTCTGACGCAACGAATGATACGAATCACTTTGAATTTGCCCACCTGCAAACAATGCTCATGACTCTCTGATTTTGAATCTGATACATCAGGTGCAGTCTCCACTTCAATGGCTCTAACTGAAACCTTGTAAATTCCTGGACGCAGATTTAGAAAGTGGAGAAATGCAAATGAGAAAACAGAACCCAAGAAGAAGATAGATTTAGAGGCAATGAAGGAAGAAATATCTACACTCGAGGAAAACTTCTGGAATGAGTCCAAGAGCGTGGTATGATACCGACTTCCTCACAAACCAAACCTTTGGTGACGTTGCTGTGATCTGGTGATTAAGTGGTCGCTGTAATTTAAATTACAAAGCTTCTTATGACTCTTGCCAATCAATACTTCCTTGTATAGGAAGAGTACGACAAGAAGATTCAGTGGGCGAAGGATCCTAGCAGACAATCCGTGAAGTTTCCAGGAATGACGCCAGAGATGGAACATGCAAAGCGAAAATATCTGGCGTTGCAAAAACTCGAGGAGGATGCAAGTTTTTTGCCCGATGATGATGTTGTCCATGATGATGATGACCCTTTCTAGACAGAAATCTTGTAAGACGAACTCGATTCCAAAAGTGTAGTCCTTGTTCAGTTAGAGTAAGTGAATCATATCGAAACAGTTGAATTCCTCTCACAGCATCTAATGGCTATGACGGGATGCACAATGAACCATTTTTTCTCCAACATCAGAAGTTACTATAAACTCGAACAGCCAAATAAGCTGCAACTTGAAGATTTGTTCGATGAAACTCGTGACCATAAGTCCAGCCTCTCTGGTGCAGGCCCACTCCACACCGATTATGTCGATAGAGGTTTGATGGAGCTGGCCAGAAAGCTCAATCGAGTGAGCGAGAACAAAAGATGAATCTCTCCGGCTGACTTCTCACGCTGCTACGGAAACCGTTGCAATCTTGTGTCAAGACATGCTGAGCTTGCTGAAGCAAATCATGGTCTTGCCAGCGACTATTTCCCAGGCTGGAGGAACAAACACGAGCAACTGGTACAAAGTAGACGACTCGACGTGAAAAGCCGCCAAAGTGCCGGGATCTGGAGATAGAGACCGGGGAAGAATGCTTCTTGGTTGGTGAGGAATTAGAAGGCAGTCAGTGAGTCAGTCATTCACGATCGTTGCGCACGACTGACTGACTGTCGAGAGATTATGAAGAGGAACCCCTTCCTCTTCATTATCCAGAGCAGTTACGTTTTCGACGGTGTTTGGATCGTCATGAGCCGAGTAATATACGAGGAAAATACTATCATGTCCTTCAGGGATCAGGCAAGGCCCCTACAGGAGCTATGTCCTAGTTGCATGACGCTAGTTTCTCGCGTCATGAAGTTTTAGCTCTTGAACTGTGTCTTAAGACGCTTGTGAGTGCCTTCTCGAATGCAGCCTAGATATACAATTGTAGAGATTTTGACACAAAGTTAGAGTTGAGCTTGTGAAGATGCTTGTTCAACTTGTAATTGCTCAATGCAGTTTCGCACCATTTTTCCAATTTATAGATTGTGCTGACATAACGCTGAATACAATGCGACATTGTCTTGTGTGAAGAGAATATAAGATACTGAACATTTTAATAATAGTAATTTAGAATACAGATATATCTATGTATACGTGTCAAATGTACATATAAATATGCATTATTTATCATATGTGTGGAAGATAGGTTTGCAGCATAATTGTTGTTTTGTCACAATGTCATCACTATACTATATAGCTGGAAATGTTGGAAAATCAAACCAATTACTTAAAGTTCAATATTAATTATTTAATAGATTATACATTAAAAATATATTTTTTTAAAGAACCAAATAGAGAATATTCAATGATTTGCTGTTGCAACTAGCTGCAAAACTTAGGAAATCAAACCTTAAACTCTGGTAATTGTAGATCATACGGACTGTAAGGTTATTGTCCTCATTACATTTAAAATCTCCAACAGCAGGGAATGATTACTTACAAGCTCTACGTTTGTATATAAAAACGATTCCAATAGTTTGACGAATTTTACAATTGGTCACAATCATGTTACAAATATATTCAAATACTTACACAAATATTACATCTTCATGTTTAGCCATGGTCAATAGTAAATCTTAAATACATATGGAAACCATGGTGGTTCATTAGATTCCATATTGATGTTCATTCGTGATTCAGCATGAAATGTATTGATAAATTTTTATCACCAATGTTCTGCGGAAGTAATTACGTGATAATTGTACAAATCCAACTCTTGTCATTGCCATACCCCATATCATTCATTACAGTAGTCTCCCGGTTAAGTACGCACTTTGAACCCGGGAGTGCTGTGCGTACTTAAGAATATTGATTTCCTAATTGTTTGATTTGAGTGTAATGTCAAAGGAACCTTATATGAACATTCCTAAATGACTCTACGCTGTTTGATATCATAGAGAAACCGAGCAAAATCATGATTCCATTGGAAAAGCTCGAACTTGCAAGTGACTTGATCATGAAGATGAGACAAACGGAACAAATCACAAAGCTCAATTGAGTTAATGTATAATGAAATTAAAGAGAATACTTTGTAATCTCACTCTTCTAACATCTATTGACACCACCAAATCAAAAAATATTGCATTGAGTTTATTGATTCCATATATGGACTCCAGCACATATTTGTAATTGCCAAGTCGTATTCAATTGCCAAATGAGTTGTAAAAGGTATTGCTTCTAGGAGAGTGATTTGAAATTTTATCATGGACTCTAGCAACGTTAACTGTCATAGCCCAATATAACCTAAAACCTCAAAAAGATGATATAATCTTCTCTTCATTTTGCGATAGCGGCTTGCTTTTTTCTCTACCATGAGAGTTTGTCTCTAATGTTAAACGAGTTTATATCAGCCACTAGCGGTTCACGCTTCTAATCAGATATAAGACAACCACTAGGAGGAGTAATATCTAAAATTAAGCATCTTTAGCACTTGAGCTTGAAAAGCATGGGCATCATCAAATTATGAAAAGATCAATATATTCACAAATGGATTGGTTTGTACAGTAGTCTCCCGGTTAAGTACGCATCCCGGTTAAGTACTCATTTTTTTTTGCACAAAAATAGGGTTCAACCCATGACATGTAGTTCATTTGGTTTATGGTCAAAAATTGTTACTCCTTATACAAAATATATTATTTACTTTTTAAGTGTAAGATGATTAAACTTACATAAATAATTGTATGAAAGGTATCTTAGAATTACTACGAAATTTTTCACCTAAGTAAAAGATAGATTGTTTTCTGAAATCTATTTTGAAACTGGAACAACACATAAGAACCATACTACCTCACAATGGTGCCTACTTTTCTATTAAAAAAAAAAAGAACTTTTCTATTAAAAAAGCACTTATGAAGATTAGATCATCTATTGAAAGGCTAACACAGACTTAATCTAGGTTCAAAGTCCGACATTCCTTCTTAAAATCTAAACTTCTAAAAACGAAATATTCACATTGAGTTATTTTTCACAATCTCCATATAAATGTGTGAAATTTTCAATACCCAACGATTGATTCAACTCACATGTAGTAAGAAATTTTCTTGTATTCGATCCATAAGGAAATGGAAAGAATGAAATCTTGTAATTTCTGAGTGCTGAAAATTTCACCTAAAAGTTGATATTCTAAAGAAGTTTAAACTTGCCATAAACTCGTTACATATTATCAGTACATATAGAACCTAAGTGCTTTTGGGAACGGACCATGAAAGTGAACGGACCATGTACACAAAACGTACAAGAACGAGAAGACAGACAAAATTCCTATACAACTTACTGGCATTGTAAACTGCACCGGCAGTACATGAATAATGCAGACAGTATATAGGCACGAGCATATGTCTGTAGCCTTTGCTTCTGGGATGATCTTTCAAGAGAATCTACGTTCTTCTGCAACCTGGTTGCAGAGACATGATCCCATGTAGGAACATTTTAGCTATACAAATGGAGCTCGGACTTAACCAAGACGTGGAACGATCGCTACATTTCCGTTTTTGTCCACGTCCAACCACACTCGGCGTATATCGATGTTCTTTATGCGCCCAAATCCCGCTGGTCCGAAAATCACATTGACCCCAACTTCCTCCGAAATTATTGTTTCAATTGCTTCCTTGTACGGTCTGCCCAGAAGCTCTGGCCATCCCGGACTTCTTCCTGAAAACACGTCCCATCGCGAACAAGCAAGCGAAAGTGAGATTGACGATAAGCCAAGTCCTGGAAGGAGAACATCGATTCCTAGCGCAGAGCTTCTAAAAGTTTCAAAAGTAAAATCTAGATCTGTTAGTTCGATGACACCAACAGCAGAGGCACTCCATCTTGGAAATCGACATCTCTTCTGAATGTTACGCTTTCAGAGTCATGAGTGGAGGGGATTTTCTTTTCCACCAAATTTCAGCAGCTTCATGCGATCTCTTTTAGCCTGCCTACATGTCTGACATTCGGCATCCAGCAGCGCAGCGACGATTAAGGAAGAATTTCAGCCAATGACGATGACCACTATCTTGCCCCGACTTCTGTGCACGTAACTACTTACTATTGTAGTGCCAGGTTCCACGTTTGGGAATGCCCAGAACAGTGCCGTCACCGTCGTCGTAGACCCACACGTCTTCGGGAGTACCAGGATTGATGGGAGGTGAGTCTTCTGCAGACATCGGGCCCTGCGTAAACACATTCGGTATCGATGATACAGCACTCAAACTGTCCACGGCTTCTTGTGTTGACGTACGTAGGTACTCCACCCAGGCATTTTGCACCTTCCCTGCAATATGTGTCAGGCACAAGCTTATTCCCCAGAACAAAGAAACGCGATTTACTCTCCTTCTGGATATAATCACTCAGAGACCATTCAGAAAACCATCATGGAAGCTTAATCTTGCCAGAACATCGGAATAGTAGATTCGTCGCCATTCTGCAAGTTTTGCTGTACACCTCTTGAGACAGTAGGTGCCGATACGATCGAGCGAGTGGCTGAGCTGAGTAAGGCTGATCCACTCCAGCTCAAACGGAAATGGAAACCTGAGGAAGTTACTGGACGTACCATTTTCGTTGAAAGCCATCGACCAAACAGAGCTCAAATCTTGACTTCCCGAACGTGTTCGCCTAATCGGTCTGTGAGATCAGTATCAACAAGTCTCTAGAGTCAAATCCAACAGTGATCTGTCAACCGACCGACTTCTCACAGCAGACGATTCCAATAACTCTAGTACCAGCTTCACAATTGACTCGAGCTCCTATTCACAAGACGGTATTATTACGGGAAGCTGCTGAAAACCACTGCATGCATGCCCCCTCTGAATTCAATTGACAGTTCGTACGTTGATGTTACTTAGCGCGTTGTCCTCGGCCTGCTGCTTGAAGAAGAAGACAAGAAAGATACATGATATAAGTGGCGAAGACACTCGTTTATATACCAACAACACATTCCTCTAAGCCCAGGCCGCACCCAAGGACTATCTCGTCACAAGAAGTCATTTGTGGACTGGACACCAAGACTCGAGTGGTCTACTGTGGACCTCGCCAATATCCGACTCATCCTACATTATCTACCCCATTCATGACAATCACGTGAGCGAATATGTCTCTTGAACGAAGACCAAGTCCTCCAAGTGGCCAGAATCCACGTCGCTACAAGGACGTGAAATAATTGCCAACGTGTTCACGTTTTAGAAACCTTGTTACCTCGGACCACCATGTGTCCACCGTTCGAATTTTGCTTTCTTGCTTGCTGTGATGGCTAGTTGCAGGACTGAGAGTGTGTGTGTGTGAGAGAGAGAGAGACTGAAGATTTTTCTCTGATGTCAGTATCTCTTTGCTGGTCTCGCTGCCTAGTGATAGAGGGCCTGCATTTGGCCCAAAGGCCCCAGAAGTTACTCTAAAGGATCAGAATCAATGTTTCAGATTGGCAGGCCCTAATCAAGCTGCCATGGTAAAACTTCAATGCTTTGACGAGCATATATGCCCACTTGTCCCTCCGCCGTCGCCGTCTAGCAGCGTCCAAATTCCACTAGTTGACATAATCAGTAGCTTCATCGTCACAACCTGAGACTTTGTTGACGGACCTTGTACCTGGAACTGAGGCTTGTCTGTCTGCCTGGAGTCTGCACCCGAATGCTTCCCGCTCGTTCGGTTCTGCACGCAACAGCTGCTGGCGATGGGGCAAGGAGAAATTCTGACTCAGAGCAGTACGTCACCCTGGTTCCCTTCGGGCTGCCACTTTTTGAAAGTAATGGGGCAGGCCGATGGGAAGAGTACTGCCAAGAGCTTTTCGGCCATTGTTCTAAAAGCTAAAAACGGATACCTCCGTAAGCTCAAGCTATGATCGTCTGCAATCTGAATCGTTTCTAATATATGTGTACGTTTTTATTAATTGTACTTCCATTCCATTCTTGCAATCTCAAGTTACATACATACCTTCCTTACACCACAAAAACACTTTCTATTCTTCTATACAGGTTTTTTGTTACCCCAAAACTAGATCCAATGTACGAGATTGCAAAATACACTGAAGTCCCAGTTCATTTTCTGCTACTTCCTCTACTAACTACTTAGCTTTTTGGATTTTAAATTTCCAATTTACTAATTGTTTGAGATGAAGTCTCATTGCATAAGTAAAAATAACTTCAAGGTGTGAATGGTGATTCACCACTTGATGTTATCTTTGTGAGCCTAAACTCCCCACCCTTCAGCGTTTATAGTCCAGGTGGAGGTTCGAGCTCCCATAATCTAACTTCTCTGACCTCAACCATGTGATCAAAGTGTATTCAAGACAATGAGATCATAAACACTTGCTCTTTCACAGACAAATTATCCAGAATTGAAAATAATAACTTGTTGTATGCTATCTCCACAAGAGCAGCAGACAAGCTCTTTGTTACATAAAGATTTAACCCAACTCTGGGTGACTTTCTCAATACCACAACCGCTGTGGTCTATCCTAGCTCCGAGTTCCACTCCCAATTCCTACTCAGATTTCAGTGTTGATTTCTCAGCTTCCACCTTCAGACCCCACCAGATTCCTCTCTCAGATTCAACTCTTTCTTTTCAGTTTCAAATTCAGATCCCGACTGTCATATTTCAGTCTCAGATTTCGCTTCACTCTCAGCTCCCATTCTCAGGTCTTCCACTCTGATCTCAGCTCCCACTCACAGATTTTTCACTTTAATCTCAGATCCCACTCACAGATTATACTTCAATCTCAGATCCCACTCACAGATTTCGCACGTCAATCTCAGATCCCACTCACACATTACAGTTCAATTTCCGATTACAATCTAATTTCACTCTCAGATACGACTCTCCACCCACGAGAGGTTGCTTCCTCCTGCATTGAACTCTCCACACTCCCCTCCTAATTCTCACCACTTCCCTGCGAAAATCACTCACATCCACACTCTATCCTCCTACCGATCCCACCAGCGTCTCCACACGATGGCACACCACACAATCCCAGCTCGCAGGCCGAATAATCCTCTCCCCCGTCCAAGGGCCGAGTTGCCCGCAGGCCGCGTGAATGCCGTTTCCGCGATGATGGGCAACGGCCTGGTTTCCATGTGCGACTTCACGCCCTGCCGTCCTATTTCCCACGCCTGACTTCACGCCGCCGCCACTGCCACACCTTGTAATAACCCACCAAAGGCTAAAACTGCAGTATGGTGGTAAAAAGATCGAACCCACAGGGACAGAGGCAACACACAGAGTACAAAGTGTCACGTTTAACAGACTTTTGGAGAGTTTGAATTCTCAGGCGACTGTCACTCCCAGAAATACTGCAGTGCTCGACTCGGAGGCCACTCGGAGGATGCTCGACTCGGAGATCACTCGGAGGATGCTCGGAGGATGCACAGTGCAACGTAAGTCACTCAACACACACACACACACCTTAAACTGGAAAAGCACAACTCGGAGGTCGGTCAGGACCTCCGCTTAGGATTTCAGGGGGAAAGTCTCTCAAAAGTACACTTAGAGGCTCTGCAGGTAGTGACTCCCACTCCGGCTTTTACAGCCCTTCCGCCAGTTTCTGCTAGCGTAGGGAACCCGGATTGGACTTCCCACTTCGAAACGAAGTCACTCATATGCAGTGGACGTCACCCTCGACTCACACCAAGCGCAGAGAGTACAGGCCCGACTGAGAACTCAACTGAGACACAATCCAATAACACACACACATAACCTGAATTGATAACCAAGGTTTACACGAAGTAACAAAACTTCACTTTGGCATTCAGGGGAAACTTCCCGTAGGAGTACAATCAGGATATGTCACTCGAAGGTGTAAGGGGGAACTGTTCAAGTATCTAACTCGCAACCGGCTCTGAGCATCAGAAATCACCCGCAGGTGCAGATCCGCACTACTCAAGTCTCTAACCGGTGTACTAGCTCTGAACATTCAGCCGAAAGCCTTCAGCTACAACATGCGGTAACTTCACTATGCTGCAGCTACTCTACGTGGTGCCAGGACCAAATGCACAAACACGCCGAGAAAGTGAGTTCCTGATCTGCATTTCCGAAACTGGAAGAATCCCAAGGCAAAACGCCTTGAACTACTTTATACCCTCTAAGGTCCTAATTAACACTACGTTGCACTATCTGCTACTCTAAACTCCTGCACGAAACCAAGCTACACTACTACACTCGGCAGATCCGGTACTGCGCCTCCTGCGCGCCAGACTGCCTCGCACTTTCTCCCTACCCTGCCAATCTTCCGACCGGCTGCGCAACCCCAGCCGCCGAAGGACTGCAGTCACTTCCGACTCCAAGTGCGCCATAGTGTCGCGCGCACCCGACAAGAAGGCCTCAAATTTCCTCGCCACTCGCCGCCGACTCCGACTGTCACCCTCCGTCAAGGCCGCCGCCCGAAGCTCAAACTCCCTGAGCGTGATCTTCTCTTGTGCCGCCACTTCCCAGTGGGCGTATCCTCTTAGACAGTGAGTCACCCGCGTCACCAACTCCTCTCGCGTCCGGCTGCTGCCTTCCACCTCTGCTAGTTGCATCTCCGAATCTGCGCGCTGCGCCCTCAATTCCGCGCACTCGGATTGCAAGTTGCGCAACAACTCCTCATCCTCCTTGCGCGTGCTTTGACTTTCCTCTAATGCGCGCGTCTGGCGCGCAAGCTCCTCTGTTAGAATGCGGTTTTGTCTCCGCTCTTCCTGCAATTCCGACTCGATCTTTGCCCGCATTAGCTCGGCATCCACCTGGGCTTTCGTCGCCACATCCTCCCGCTGTTGTTGCAGGGTTTGGTGTAGCCTCTTCGTGATCGCCAAGTGCTGTCGGAGGGCAGTATTCCTATTCTACAATGTTTGGCACCTAGTGGCCCAGGTGGCCACCTTCCTCCTCATCCTGCTCTTGACAACCTCCACATAAGACTGCGATTTTCAGGAGCCTGGCGACCAACTCGAGTACTTTGCTGTCTTGCGATCCAAATATCGCAGGAGTGGCACTATCTGCTCGCACAGTACCCCTGTTGGCGTCTTCCGCACAGAGTCCGCTTCCTGCTCTTCCGAACTCGTCTCATCCTCTGTTTCGAGGATTTCAGTCGCCACTGAATCTCTTGGCGACTCCCTGGAACTGTGGCGCGCGGCAGCTTCCGCCGCGACTGCCGCTCCACTTCCTGCTAAAATATCCAAGGCAGTGGGGGATCCCACTGCCTGAGCCTCTGTTCCGGCTCGATCTTCGGTTCTTGAAGGAGTTGGCGCCGCAGTTACTTTTGTCACCCCTACACCGCCCGCTTCTACTGCCTGCTCTTCCGGCGCAATCTGCGCGGAAGGTGTCTTCGCCGGAGGTGTGTCCGCCGAAGGCGCCCGCACAATGGTCGCCGGCCTTGTCTGATTCGCAGTCGGCAAATCTGGCCGACTCTCAGTTGACCGACTCGCAGTCGGCCGACTAGCAGTTGTCCGATTGGCAGTCGGATCCACCCTGCGCGTCTTTACTTCACTTGGCCTGCTTGTTGGAGGCGTTTTCTCAGAAGCGCCTTCTGTCGAAGACGACCCTCTGAGAGTTGTTGGCTCTTCAGCCAAACTCCCGTCTGCTTCCGGCCTGCTGTCCGGTTCAACGCGCTGCTCAGTTGGCCGTCCTTCAGTCGCCCGACTCGCAGTCGGCCGGCTGTCAGTTCACCCGTCTTCTTCTAAAGGCATCCGCGCCTTCTGCGCAGAGGGGTTCACCGACCTCCCCAGAATCTACGCGATTATCTCCTCCTATGTGGGCAGGATACTCCGCCGGACTGGAGTACGCCCGGTCTCCTCACTACTAGTTGGCAACACCATCTTGCGTGCCCTCTGTTTCGGCCGGCTGTGAAGCTCGTGGGTTGGCCGACTCCGAGTCGGCGCAGCGGGAGCTTCCGGCTGCCTGTCTTCAAGTCTCTTATCCCATTTCCGCTTCCACGGTGCGCGCTCACTTCGACGCTCTTCTGTTGCTCTTGCCGGAGCCGGAGCTGGAGCTGGACTGGCAGGTGCTTCGTCCGGATCTGTG